TAGATTTATCACAACAGAATCGTTGCTAATTAGTGTATATTGTGGTGTGAGCGTAATTATATGCAAAGTGCCCGCAGGTATAAAACACGTGAATTTTGAATCTACATTTTTTATTACTTGGATTAATGTGTGCGCGAACTTTGTTTTTACAGGACCTTAACACCATGATTTCTTTAACAAAAACGATTTTGTTTTTTGTTAATGGTCACGCATACACAACATGGCGTGATTTTAGGTATTTCGTTGACGATTTTCAACAAATTCTTAAAAATCCCACACTCATCTCCCCAAAGTAAACTTTACATATTTTGAAAGATCGTTAACTCGGGTATTGTCATTCTTAATCTTACGAAATTCTAATCAAAGGCACATGCTCAAAACTATCGTTATTTTTCGCCTACCGTTTTAAGAAGCACGGGAAAGCCATAACTTCTTTACTTCTCTTGAATACTCAGATAAATCTAATGTTTATGAAATCATGGTGTTTAGACCATGGCAAGTTATACAACAAATTGGAACTATGATGGCTTTTTCGGTTCTGTCCTGGTGTACCGGTTCACAAGGGAATTACCATTGTTCTTTCTTTGTTTAGGAGTTATCGGTTAGCTATTGTGTATTGTTTGGTCTTTTGTATTGGCTCTTGTGAACCGGTACACGAGGACAGAACCGCTTTTTCTAGCGAAGCAGTTTTGACAAGCGAGTCAAGTGAATCATGACTAATTTCCACCCTATTTGCACTCTGTTTGATCGCCAAATTGTGCATGGCTTCCATCGTTTTTCTCAGGAATTAACAGATATTTCAAGGAAAAAACTGCATGGCATTCATATACTTAATAAAGGCTATCTATATGCAAAAGACGAGTGAATTTGATTTTTTTCAACTTTGCCGAAAATTTGCGATTTTGTTTGATTCTTGCATGGATCTGCTCTTAAGAACTCTAGCCCCAGGGTCGCAAAATTGTCTTCGTTTAGGGACTGGTGGGCCGAGTCTCTGTTTGTATCCATTACTATCGCGAAATATTTAAGAATTTTAACAGAACGACGACAAGGATCTGTGCGACGAAGTACAGAAAAGTAAACAAACGTCCCCATCGGCTCGTCAAAATCACGCCACATTTCAATACTTTGGTGTTAGAGCGAGCGCATTTGATCCAGTTAACTGTGAATGAAAAGCTCAAAATTAACGGGGAAAATGGAGGAAATCTAAGTTTGTAAGATGTTTGATACTTTACAGGGACATAACGCCGAAAACAACAAATGTATGCGATTAAGTTTTCCAAAATCACACGATGACTGAAATTTATAATAGGAAATGAGTAAGTCTAACTCGAATTACACAAAGTACATGAATAATAACCCAGACTGTAAGAACGAAATTGGTTGTTGCCAAATTAGCATACATTTCTCAACTTCCGGTAGAATCGGCCATGCACTTGGCGACTTCATGAACGAAATCCGAAGATGTTACCTCTGGTGGGTCGATCTTACTTTGACGCAGGCGAGCCATCAGCGTCTGAAGTATCAAAGATGTAAGATGGAGTCAGACACGAATGTTCTTCAGGAACTTATATTGAATTTTATATTTAGTGGAGTAAAACGTACTGACTGGTGAAAAAAAAAGTAGAAGAATACCAGCATTAGGCCATTGCAGAAACGTGAGAGGACTGGGAAAGAGTTGGGTTGTTTTCCGTTTGTTTGAAAAACTAAGATATTCAAATGAAAGATCAACTAAATTTTAGAGTCTTAAGCAAGAATAGAAGTATTTAGAGAAGGTAAATGGCAAAATGACAGCTTTTCAAATATCACCTAAAATAGTGTTTGTATGGATTGGGTAGACAGGGCAAAAAATTTGAAGGGTTTGTATGGAATTTTTGCAAATTTTGCAAGGCTCCTAGCTGGACATTTTTCCGCTGAAAACTCTCAAACTTGGCTGGGTAGCTTTTCATTCAGTAACATTTCAGTTGAAATGTTTAGATTTCCAATGTACTCAATCCTTGGGTTTCACCCACGTGACCAATACCTCAGCAACGGTTACTATCCGCCATCTTGGTGTCCCTCGAGCGTAAACAAACCGTATCTAACGAAGAGTTCATGTGAGAAAGAAGGGATGGTTTTATGCATTATTGTTGGCTGTTCGAGCAAAAGTGGAAAGCATAAAGACTAAGGATTTTTTCGTATAATAATTTAATAATTTTATTATTTCTATAGCGCAAAATTCATTATATATATGATCTAATGCGCTATACCTAAGATCATCACAAATCAAGGGGAAGAACAGGAGGAACTAGAAGTTGTTGTATTGTTCGAGGCTTGCGGCTGTTGTAGATCCTCGATTTTTTGGTCGAGCTTTTCTTTGAGCTTCTTAGCCGATGAGAAATCGATGTCTTTAGCCCTCGCATACGGCACTTCATTGACCTATGTCGGCAAAATCCATGAGCATTTTACCTGAGTGCAAGTAAGCTTGGGGTGTCACGAAAACTCACACCCCGAAAACTCAGAC